TGAATATGTATACGCTCTGCTCTTCTCTAACATGAATAGAAGTACAAAAAAGTACATAATGTGAACTTCATAAAAATATGAAAGAATATAAGTCGTCAACTGAAAAATAGCATTTAGCTGTTTTCAAATGGGGACAGGCACTTTGTCAATCAGTCCAATCAATCAATCAAATCAATCAATCAATCAATCAAATGCTTACCAAAGAAAGTGCTGAACAGACAAAAACATCAGGATGAAAACACATAAAAATATAGAATTATATATATACACACACATAAAAAATGAAAACTTGTCTCTTTCTGCCTGGTATTGAAAGCCAAAGAGAAAAGGTGCAGGGATTTAAAGACCTTGCGTTATTGTGCGGTTCTGATGTGCAAAGGTAATGGGAAACACACACAAACAAATTAATCAGCTCGTGGTCATGACCGCAGCTGACATTTAAACACTTCAATAATTGCAGATCAAATGGATTTCTTCAACAACAAAATGAACAGTCAGTGTGTCCGACCAAACGGCAGCATTCTTCACAAACTTTTACAATATCCTGCTGCGTTTGTCACGTTTCACCTCAGTTTGAAGTGTGTTTAGATCCAGGCTGAGCCCCACATCTGAGGCAGCTGCTTTGTGGACAGAGGTCAGACCCGGTCCAACAAAACAAACCTTTTAGTGACCTCTTTATACAGTATACGAGCAAAAGTGCAAGTGTCTCCTCTCTGTTGCCTTGTTCTGACCATAGTATACACAGTGCACCGGATTCAAATACTCAAGACTGTAAATACATGAATAACCTCAAATTAATGAATGAGAGGAAATGAAAGCAGTAACAGATGCAGTCGGAAGAATCATGTGAACCCAACTAATAATGACAGTAGATGCATTAGAGGATGACTGAAGCCAACATGTAGTATTTTGTGGACGTGATTCAGAATTCAAATAAACAATATTTAATTATCTTTTGATACTAATACAAAACTCTCTAAGCTCCTATTCCCCTATCTATTCCTATATGAGCTGAGCCAAAAACTGTCCCTCCAGGCCTGAAAACTAATCGAGGACTACCAGGTACTCTGCGAAATCCTCTCTCTGTCTCTGGCTCAGACTAGTATGAGAACGCATAATATAAAAACACTTTTATAGAAACACTTCATGATTAAATATAGAATTTCATATTTTCATAGATGTTGATACATGGATGACAGAAAATAGAAGTGTGTTCTTGTATCATTTACATACTTGTATGTATAAGTAGTAGTAGTTTGTATGTTCTCCCGTGTCTGCGTAGGTTTTCTCTGGGTGCTCCGGTTTCCCCTACCACTAAAAACTTGTACCGTAGTTCAAGGTGAATGAGTGTGTGTTTGGGAGAGCGACTTTAGAAAGATGGATGAAAATCAGTCCAAGGCTACAATCCGGAGAGGTGTGTTCATTAACATGCGCTGTCCAAACCATCCATCCATCCATCCATTTTCTTCCCCTTAATCCATTTCTGGGTCGGGGGGGTGGCAGTCAGAGCTGCACCCAGTCCACAGAGCACCAGCCCCTCACTGATCCTCCTGCAGGTGGTGAGTCCACAGGAGCTGAGATCTTTCAGTGGGGGCTTCAGGCAAAGTGGGGTTAAGTGTCTTGCCCAAGGACACAACGACAGCAGTCATCAGTGGGAGTTGTGAAGTAGGTCTTGAGGTGGGCTCGAACCCACGACCTTCAGGCTCAAAGGCCAATGCTCTACCAACTGAGCTACTGTCGAAACCAAACCAAATAAACAATAAATAAATCAAGATAGCTGTAATTCTAGCCCTAAACCTTAACCGACGTGGGAAAGTGTCAGTTTTTAGTTAGATGTTGAATAAGACAATGTGGAATGAGGTCTGATTAAGGTCTGATTAAACATAAATCATGTTTTGATAAGCTCTTTAGTCATTGTAACACTCTCGAACAAACTCAATCCTTAATGACACAGGCAGCAGCCCTGAACAGGTGTGGAGGGTGGGGTGTGGTTTAAAGTGGGAGAGTGCCCCCAGGCGGGGACATGGATTGGCCAGGTCCAGAGCCACTCCTCCAATCAGCGCCTGAGCCACGACTTCTGGGAGGTGGGAGGGCCAGTGGTTCTCAATGATCTTCACTTGAACTGAAACTGTTTTTGTTTATTGATTTCACAGTCACAATTGTTTTTTGTAATTTTTTCATGTTTTATTTTATATATTTGTCTGATGCACATTGGAGACTTTTGCACATGTATTCCAATGTGGTTTTACTGCAAATGGCAAATACACTGAATCTGAATCTGTATGAATGAACACACATAACATACATGTATTTGCTTTTACCTTCACCCTATCTATTAATACAGATAGGATGAAGGCCAATTCTCTGCCTTTCTATGACAAATCCTTAGATTATGACATCGTGGACAAAGCCGTTATCATTATCTTCTGGCTTCTTCTCTCTCCACATTTACCACTTATATAATTTTTGTATTCTCTCACCTTGCTCTCTTAGTGCTCCGGTTCATTACTGGATGTTTGATGTTGGGTGAGATGTGAATCTGGAACAGACCCAAGCACAGTGTCTTGCTCAAAGGCAGCAGTTAAGAATAAACCTGTTTGGTGCCACTTTAGATCTGTCAGCTTTCATCCTCCTGCCGCCGCTGGCCGCTTCTCAAAGCAGACGATTCTTGGCCACTTTTCAGCAAACACTCAAGGATTACAAAGAGCCAAATGCATGTCTGATATAAAACTGATTCATGGAAGGAGCCAGAGGAGGTCACATCCAGATTCAGACTCAACATTCAGATTGAGATTATTGGCCATTTGAAGGGGACTCAAACCTCCCATCTAAAGACCCTGACCACAGCCAGACCGCTCCAACACAAGTAAAATTATATATGTGTCGCCAAAACATGGATAAGAAACAAATGTATTATCTCTCTAGACCAGTTGTTGTGAGCATTTGTCTCTTATTTTAAATTCAAATCTTGTGGATAGGGATCTTAATGTGTTTTCTTGATGTGTGTTTTTCTTTCTAACAAAGATACAAGACAGTGGGTGTCCAGGTGAAAAAGGTCGGAGACTCCTGCTCTACAGGTTTTTAGTGACACTTGAACTGGGATTTCTCAGCTCAGATTCAGATTTATTTGCCATTTGCAGTAAAACCATATTGGAATACATCTGCAAAAGTCCCCGGTGTGCACCAGACAAGAATGTAAATAAAACATTTTCAATGCAAAGGCAAGATCATTGAAGTGCTCTGTTCAAACTGATAACAGCGTGTGGAAAGAAGCTGGTATAGCACAGAGAGATGTCCTGCCAGAGGGAAGAAGCTGGAACATGGCTATTCCAGGGTGGCCAGAAGAGTCTCTGATTATTTTAAGAGCTTGGTTTAAAAGTCTGGATTATAAAGAACCTCCAGAACAGGAAGCTCACAGTCCTCTTTGCAAAGCGAAGCACCTTGTTTAGAGCTCTCTTTTCTTTGGTTGAGATGTCACCAAACCACACAGTCACAGAACCAACAAGCGATGGTGAAGCGATAAAAGTTAAGCAGAATCTTACAGTTAGTGATAAATTCTCTAAGTTTACACAGAAAGAAGACGCTGACAAGCTTTCTTAACGACCCGGTTAGTTTGAACAGAAACATGAGGAGGAGCCACTGTGGAGAAGATATCATGTCCTAAAGCTGGGGTACGTAACTTTCAAACCACAATAACTGGACGACAGTATGTAATAAAAGAGATGTCAATAGTTTCTGGCTCTAAATCTGTTTGGTTTCAACTCCAGCGTGTATGTTTGGACTCAGCTTTTTCAGACAGAGAAGTTAAAAAGCAAGGACCGCCCTCACACAATCAGCCCAAAGCGGCAATTAGTGACTCATACGGCTCTTTTCTAACACAAAAAGGAACATGTTTTTTACTAATTTATGTAAATATAATAAAATTTATGGACTATGGTTGTCTTCCCTCAATCTATGTGTTTTTATTGCATCTCTAGTGTTAAAACTGTATTATTCTTCTCTGACCCCTGCATGTGTTATCTACAGGACTGAAATGTTACATACCCCGGCTTTAAAGGTAAGACTCTTGAAGTCGTCAAACACTAACACACTTGTTTTGATACAAGTCTCAGCAAACACAAAAGAGACCATTTTGCGTTCACTGTGCTGCGACACATGCCCTGGGGCAGATGGAAGAAAATGTGGCTGCAGTAGAAGAAAGATCCCCTGCATTACATAACATGCTCATTTACAAAAAACAACTAAACTAAAGCCTAATTATCAGACTTGTTTGCTTTGTCAGATCCTGGGGCCATTTGCTTTCAAAATAATAATAATCAAACTGTTCATACTGTACATTATACAGATTATACAATGTTCATCAGATTTATTTTAGCTTTAAAGTCCAACTCCTCTCTCCCACACCCTCCACCCTCTCCGAGAGTTTGGTACTTTACAGCCGCAGCCGCCCCACTCAATAATAATACATCATCATCATCATCATCAATTTGCGCTAAATGCAAATCTGGAATCATGGAAGGTACTTTTTTTTATTTACCTGAGAGAGGGAGCCAGAGACCAGTTGTTTGCACATTTGTTCATTCATGTCTCTAAACTAAACATTTCACATTAAAAAATATAGAACTAAAATTAAGATTAAGATTAAGAGATTCTTTATTCGTCCCACACTGAAGAAATTTGTGTTGCATCACCAGTTACAGCTCAGAAGGAGTGAGGAGGACACAGAACAAGATAAAGGAATATTAGGTAAATAGAAGAATAGAATATCTAACTTTATCATAAAAGAAGCAAAGTTTATTAACATGTTTATACTCCCCTAATTATTTCTGAAGCAAGTGAAATAATCCAGACAAATAATCCAAATAAAGCAATACAACTTCTGTGCACCACGCTCTCCCGTTTACGCGTCTGCCACTGTGTTTGTGTGTGAGTGCGTGTCTGTGTTTGTGTGCGTATGCGCGTGTGTATATATATGACGTGACCAGGACAACACTGCCTCTATGCGGCTACAGCAGGAACTGCAGTCCCCCCGGTCCCTGAGCTCAGGAACTGGAGCTGAACCTGAACCCGTTACGTGAGCTTTGAAAGTGCATTTGGAGACACGCTCTGAACCTGTGACCCTGAATATGCCTCCCAGCAGAATGAACCAGCTATCATTCATTATGTATTTATTTGGTTCTCCTTAAGTGTGTGTTAGAACCCCCCACAAATGATCCAGAATACAATATATTTAACTAATTCCTCGCTCTATAATTAAGCAGTTGCTTCTTTCACTGGTTTACACACGCATGTATATTTGGCCTCTGTCATATCTTTAATTAAATCAGCTTGTTCAGACAGGAAAGGAAAAACTTGAAGATCACCCTCACTCAGCCAATCAACTCGAGGGCTTTACAAAGTTGTTGATTCACTAACTGCAGATCAGAGATTCAAACAGTTTTTTAACACAGGAAGTGCAATATTAACAAACACATAGAAGCCGTTGGTCCATAGGGAACGGGATGACCACTGCCCAGAAATGTTTTTAAATGTATGAATGTCCTGGATCATCACTGTCATTAGACCCTCCTGCATCGGCAAAGAACCACTCAAAAAGAGAAACAGTGAGAGGGATCCGCTCCACGCTGAAGATCCAAGACTCTGCCCATAATTCCAGGCCGGGGAAGACAGTCCACAGGTGCCACGAAAGAGACACACCATCAATAAACCACTGATTGTCCATGTGTTCTTTAGAATGTTGTTTTATATCTGGGTGCGTTCCAATGCAGGAGGGTCTAAGGACAGTGGTGATGATCCAGGGTAATCCGCATTCAACGACATTTACAGATATTTACATGTAGCAACATTTATGGTCATTCGCCCCTTGGACCAATGGCTCAATATTGTATCACTGCATTTCTTGTGTTTGATTCTCTGATCTGTGTTGGTGAATCGACAGCTTTGTAAAGTCCTCCGAGATAACTACTGCTGTGATTTAGGCCTGTTCAAAAATACGGCATTTTTGTTTTGTATTAAGTGAACTCAGATAGCCCTATAGATAATGACCATGACCAGGAAACGTGGATGAGAAAAATGGCTGCAAAAAGACACTTGCCAAATAAAAAAGCAAAATTGTGAGCTAGCTCAAAGAAAAATTAATACGATTTTTGTCATTTATTCCAATATTGCTCAGCCTTACACTAGATCATGTTTTGAGTGTGTCGTTTTGTGTTCTAGCCGTGGTGTCCAAGGTCAAGTGAAAGTCTGCAGTGGTCTGGAAGCTTCACCTCGGGGTCAGCAAAGACTGGTCAGCTGCCGGTCACTGGGTCCAGCTTTGTCACGCACTGATCAAAGCCTTCACTGAGGTCATACAGCCACAGAACATGGTCACACAATAAGAAGCCCATACACTGCAAACAGTGATGAAAAATAAGGGAAAAATAGCTTAAAATTGGCTAAATGTATCTTTATTTGAGCACGGCCTTAAAGCAAGTGTGTGTTGCCAATGGGACAAGCAAAAATATCTTGTTTTAAAAAGTCTCCCTTGAAAAAAAAATGGCTAAATGACTGGCTTTGTACCAACATTCATTGCCTCATATTTTAGAGCTTTTTGTAGAAAATACCTGAACATTATAATTGCATTACAGTATAGGATGCTGGTCCGATAGATTTCTGATTTGAAGAATGTATTTTGTCATTTACCAATAACATATTTCTGTTTAGTGAGAGAATTGCTGTTGGAGACTAGAATAAGCAAGGCAGGTTTATTTGTATAGCACATTTTATATACAAGGCAACTCAAAGTGCTTAACAAAATAAGAACAAGTTTGGTCTCTCACTTTCTGGTCTCTCTTTGATCTCTCTCTGGTCTCTCTCAGGTCTCTCTCTGGTCCCTCTCTCTGGTCTCTACCTGGTCTCTCTCCCTGGTCTCTACCTGGTCTCTCTCTGGTCTCTCTGTGGTCTCTCTCTCTCTGGTCTCTCTCTGCCTCTGTCTGGTCTCTCTAGCTGATCTCTCTCTTGTCTCTCTCTGGTCTCTCTCCAGTCTTTCTCTCTGGCCTATCCCTCTCGCTCTCTGGTATCTCTCTTTTCTCTCTCTCTGCCTCTGTCTGGTCTCTCTAGCTGATCTAGCTCTCTCGTCTCTCTTTGGTCTCTCTGGTCGCTCTCTGGTCTCTCTCAAGTCTTTATCTCTTGCCTATCCCTCTCTCTCTCTGGTCTCTCTCTTTTCTCTCTCTCTGGTCTCTCTCTGCCTCTGTCTGGTCTCTCTTTAGCTGGTCTCTCTTTAGTCTCTCTTTGGTCTCTCTATCTGGTCTTTCTCTGGTCTCACTCTGGACAGTAATTGAATATACAAAGTCATCTGAATGGGCTCCACACAGAATATGTTTTCCCCTCGGTCACATCCTGGTGAAGCCAGATCAGGCGTCGTTGTTGTATAGGAGACGCACATTAACACGTTGGGACATAATTTGATAACGTCTTTGAAATATTACGTGAAGGAAGTGTGCCCGGGGACGCATTAGAGTGGATTGTTGAGCTGTGAAGTCAACTGATGTCATCTGAACTGCCACAAAGAAGATTATATAGTAAATATGCTCAGTATGACTCAATATAATGTGTTTATGGGTAAAATTGCAAAGAATACAAGCAGGTCAAATCTATACATTCTATACGATATATTGCGGAGTACCTCTCTCTGGTGGTGTTTCTCCCTGGTCTCTGGTCTCTCTCTCTGGTCTCTTTCTGGTCTCTCTCTGGTCTCTCTCTGGTCTCTCTCTGGTCTCTCTCTCTGGTGTCTCTCTGCGTTCTCTCTCTCTGGTCCCTCCTTGGTCGCTCTCTCTGATCTCTCTTTCTACAGTCTCTCTCTCTGGTCTCTCTCTACTCTCTCTAGTCTCTTTCTCTGGTCTCTCACTGATCTCTCTTTCTAATCTCTCTCTCTCTATAGTCTCTCTCTCTGGTTGCTCTCTGGTCTCTCTCTCTCTAGTCTCTCTCACTGGTCTCTCTCTCTCTCTCTCTGGTCTCTCTCTCTGGTCTCTCTCTGGTCTCTCTCTCTGGTGTCTCTGTGTTCTCTCTCTCTCGTCCCTCCTTGGTCGCTCTCTCTAATCTCTCTTTCTACAGTCTCTCTCTCTGGTCTCTCTCTCACTGGTCTCTCTCTCTATAGTCTCTCTCTCTGGTCTCTCCCTCAGTCTTACTCCTTTCCCTCAGTCTCCTCTGCAGCTGTATTTTACACTGTATGCACGGCTTTTGATCTGGAAATAGATAGAGATGGCTCCCACTGCTCAGAAAAGTAAACAAGCATTGATATAACCACTTTCACAACGTCCATTCACTCCACAACCCGCCGGTGCTAAGCCATTCTTATTATCATTATTATGAAAACAAGATGAAAAACAGGTTATATATAATATTAGCAGGTGCATTCTGTAAAGCCTCCATACATACATCAGTACAGTACAGCCTCATACACAGCACACCTGAGCCAGCATAGAATCTTTGTATCTAAAGCCGTTTCTTTATAGCAGGGTTAACTATAGGAAGTTACGATCACGCTCTCATTCATCCACATTCACACCACTAGACCCCACAGACAAGCAGAAAATGAAGCTTGAGCTTGAGGGTTATGATGAAAAGGTCAAGATGAAGAAGTGCAAGAAGTATGTTTGAGTTTGAATAAGTCAAATAATAAATCTGAATCACTCTTCCTGAACACCTCTTAATTTGAGAACATTCTGTCTTAAAACTGGATTTGCCAATGGGACAATCCCATTTTGTCTTATTTCAAGAACTGAGGCTTTATTTTCTAATTTCAAGAGAGATGTTTTTTTTAAACGAGATCATTTTGCTTGTCCCATTGGCAAATCTTGTTTTAAGGCAGTCAACATATGTTTACTATTTCTGTCTTGTTGTGTCAAGCACTTTGAGTGGCCTTGTGTATGAACTGTGCTGTACAAATAAACTTGCCTTGCCTTATAGAAAATAAACACAGTTTTACCCCTCCGTATGTCTTATTCATAGCTTCCCAGACGCTCTATAGCATTACAAAGGTCCCCCATTTAACGAACCCTGAGCTTGACTTGTGTCTCGCAGTTAAGATGCACTACATGCGTCGCCGTGGCTACATCCACCGGATATGTGACATGTATTATTTAACCTGTATCAAAAATTCATGCAAAATCGCTTTGGTTGTAAACATCAGTGTCTTTTGAGGGCAACAAAAACTTACTGTAAGTAGAGTACAGCTGTCTAATGCCTGTCGGCGAGCAGCAGCACTTTTGCAGTTGTGTTGATAACTTGGCCTAGATACAAACAATATGGATTATTCTTATCCCCATTTCCCTGAATGAGTAAATGCATCGCGGGGCAAGAGCTTTCTGAGTTTGTTGGTTATGTAAAGTGGAAAAAGGCCTGTGATAAACATCGTCTCACTCTCAAGCTAATGAATAGTTTTTTAAAAAAAAATCTACTGTTTCTATTTTTAAGACAAAACATTGCGAACACTTATATAGGCAAGGCAAGGCACGTTTATTTATATAGCACAATTCATACACAAGGCAACTCGAAGTGCTGAACAAAACAAGATAGCATTAAACTCATAAATAATCACAGTACATTCAAAAGAAAGATAAAAATATGAAATCCCTCAGTTGTATGCACAGCTAAACAGAACTGTTTTAACCATGTTTTAAACGTTGTCAGAGAGGAGGCCTGTCTCACACTTTCAGAAAGATTGTTCCAGATTTAGCAATATATATCTACTACAATATACCTGTATATATTGTAGTAGATATATATACAGGCAAGGTTATAGTATAGCACACTTTGTATTGCACAGTTCATCCACGAGGCGACTCAAAGTACTTAACAAATTCTATTATTTTTTTGTTAAAGCCCTAAATCACAACAGCAGTTAGCTTGATGGACTTTGTAAAGAGAATCAAGATAACTGCTTTGTAAAGCTGTCGATTCGCCAACACAGATCAGAGAATCAAAAAGCAGGAGTACCATTCTGCTGTTCTGATTCATAAATACATTTTGTTTGTTCCAACAAGAAAGAGTTTAAGTAACATTTTATCTTTTACATACCGAGAGCTAATCGGTTTCTTTTTCACCCAAACTAAACAAAAATACATGCATGTGAAAACAAACCAGTATTGAGGGTGAGGAACTACATGTGTGTGGATTTTAAAGTTATTTATAAATTACAAAGTTTGCTTTCTATTAAAGCTGGATTACTTTTCTTTGACATCCCGAGGCAAGGGCTATATTAAAGTTTCTTGGTTATGCAAGTCGAAAAGCAGGGTATACATTGATAATCAAAAGAAAATTGTTGGAAAAAGTCTACAGTTTCAGTTCTATGTGTTTACTTCATCCTAAAACGCCTCGAACTAAATGTCAGTTTTGCACGAAGATTTAGAAGTGAATATGTCTTCCAGCGATGATACTATTTCCAGCCAAGTTTCATTGTTGACCCATCACTCGAGCAAAGACTCCCAGTGTTTAATGAAGCAATTACCTGAAAGCTCCCAGAGGCTCCCAATGCAAGTGGCCGTTCACCATTCACACAGACAACAAAAATCATTGGATTCCGAGTGCGGGAGGTTTGTGGGAGGAGAGTTAAGTAACCATGGCGAAACAAGGCCTTTAAGAAATCCCTCTTGGTTTCTTTGAGGGCTGCAGATTATGACTGAAATGGTCTTTAAAGTCGTAACAAGACGTCGGATGAGCTCCCTGACAGAGTTGTGACGGGGAATAAGTGTTTGGAACAGTACGCTCTGTCAGACTGCATTAAAGCGGAGCCAGAGCCAAGATGAAATGTGGCCGTTATTCCAGGATCGGTGGGAGGAGGAGGAGAGCGATTGGCTTCACGCTGATCCGCTGCAGAACACACAGGAGCATTATGACCAGATGAAGTGTAAATGGCATTGAATGGTATTTTAGGAAAAGATTTCAGGACAAGATTTAGACCAGAATAAACCTTTTATGAGCTTTGTGAATGACGTCCTGAGCCGCACATTGGAATACGTGGTTATACGCTCTGCCTCCCGATGTAAAAACAGCTAAGTCTTGTCTTAAGAACCATGTTTGTTCTCTGGCTTTTAACACACAGCGTGACTTTATTCCATCACTCCAAACACCACCGACCATTCACACACACACCAGACTTGTTCGAGGCAATGTGTGTGAAGTGTCTTGCCAGAGGGAACAACGTCAGTTTGGCACTTTACAGCCGCAGCCGCTCCCCTGTGGCACCTGGCGATCCCAGATATTTACTAACCAGGCCCTGCCTTACTTAGCTTCAGAGGTCTGACAGGTTTTTTATTTATTTCATCTGTTTCACTCTTACAAACTGTATATTAGACTTCCTTAATAAGCTAAAGTTGGAGATTTTATATCTAATTCTCACTTCTTCATTATGCTAAAGTTGTAGATTTTAGACATGCTTTTATTTCGTTTTAGCATGAGTTATTTATTTCAGTTCACTTATCTTGTGCCGTGTGCTCCTCATTCCTACTGTAACTGGTGATGCAACACTGACATTTCCCCACTGTGTTTTAAGACAGCTTGTGTTTTTTTCTTTTGTGAGGGACACAGATGGACACTGTAGTCTGGGACATAGGGTGAATGCCATTAGAATGATGTGTGAAATAGTTATGGTCTTGGTTATGGTAAAGCTGTTCTACTTCCTCCATCTGTTTCGAGAAAAAATTGAAAAGATAAACAATGGGGACAGGTGACACTAGTCTGAGTACATACCAGAGAGAATGATGAGGGATTTACCGTCCACGCCATCTGGTTTTGTCTTGCTGCTGTTAACACACTCAAAAAGACACACAAAAGGATTATTTTTAGATAGTTGTGGATTGGGGTTAAGTATATCGCCCGAATGACCATTTAAAATAGACTGAATTGTAACCTTTAGTAATAGACAGCATGAAATACACACCCATTAACCTGTCTGCACGGCTGCATTTCTAAGTCATGTGTCAAATGCTTAAAGCTGAGGTTCCTGACTTTTTAGCCACATAAATAATTCATGTTGTTTGTCCCAGAAGAAAGAGTCTCATATAAATACAATGTAGTTAACAAATCAGACCACAAACATGCTTTATTTCATCAAAAAATGTGTTTTCTTTTGCATACTTAAAAGAAAGAGCCCTGTGAGTCACATGGGCGGGAAGTAAGGTATGTCTCTCTAACTGATTTTCTTTTTATCTGATTGAACGATGGCTGCTTTAAATATAAATAAGAGTTTTACACAGTAACACAACTTGTGACTAATAATTGGCTTGTACACGAAACTTGTACACAAGCAGAGCTGCCTCTGTCACAGGAAGCCAGTGCAGAGACCTGAGAACTGGACTAATGTGATGGTACTTCCTGGTTCTAGTCAGGACTGCAGCTGTTTTTAGTCGCTTTTTTTGGAGAGACCAGTGAGCAGACCCTTGCAGTAGTCCAACCAATAGAGACAAATGCAGGATAAGAATCTCCAAGTCTGCTTTAGACACTATAATAGTGATTCTGACCAAATAAAGTTAAGTTTTTCTACTCACTCCTAGCCTGGTCGTACCACACCATAGTACATATTACATGATAATTGAGCAAAGTGTACGAATAGCTACAGATGCAACCTTCAAAAACTTATATTTTTGTAAACTGCAGTACTATGGTTCTGTAATCATTGTATCTTTTCAATGTTTAATATGTTTTTAAAGGTTTTTAAAGGTCAGACACACAGTAGTTGAAACTTGCCTCTACAAACTTACTGTAGCCCATAGCTCAGATCGGTGCATTGTGTACATGTAAACTACTTCATGTACGACTCAAGAATTGTATTTAGCTCAAATTGATTAATTCATATAAATGGATAATGAGTTGTGTGTTACAGGATGTGGCAAAAGGGGACCCCAGACCTCCTTGTACCTCCTTGTTATCTCCAATAACCTCATGATTAATGTTTATCCATGAATGAAAAAGGCCCTTTTTGTCATAGTTATTCATCCTCAATCTATTGAATGAAAAACATGCATTTCAGATTCTAGATTCACCCTGTGTTTGTCATTATTGCATTTTCTGTGTTTGAACTGTCTGATTCTCTGATCTATTGTTGCGGAATCGGCAACGTATAGAGTCCTCCGGCTGTTGTGATTTAATACTGTACAAAAAATACTTTGAATTGAATAAATTATTTTGATAGCATTTTTTGTATTACATAATTATTGTTAGTGTGGTTTGAAAATTAGGTGCTTTAATGTGATAGTGATAGTGATAAACAAACTGTGTGGAGAGCTGTAGGAACAAGTTATATTTTGTGAGAATTGAAAATTAGGTAACCCAGCTTTTATGGGCACACTAAAAACAATTTGCTTCTAGAAGAATGTGGTGTCGTCAGTTGAAACCCAGCAAAAAGCTATGCTAATTGAACTAATGTTTTTTCTATTGAGTGTGTGTGTGTGAGTGCGTGTGTGTCTGATAATGCATGTCATACCCATCTACAACCTGCCCAGGGACTAAATAAGTAGCAGCAGCGTTGTTAATTTACTTTACTAACCAGTATAATGCATCTCTGGTGTTGGCTAATGTCTATTGTTCACTCTCCCTGTAAAAAAAAAAAAATCAAACCATACAATAATATAATATTATGTTTAGTATGCCATATGCAAGTTGATGACGTAACACAAGTCCACGCCCATTAACACAAATCACGGAACAAGGAAGCAGTGCACCTGTTATTCACCTGCTTCACTGTAAGTATTTTGCTCACCCTTTATTTCAGACGTTTAACTTTTTTTTATTGTTGCGCTTTTGTTGAAATCGAAAACGAAACTAAAACCGGTCGCGTGTGTCTCAAGGGACCCGTCACTATGATGGTGGACACAGTGGAGGCTTCTGGGGGGACGACGGGGCAGATGGAGCATCCCCTGACCTCCGTGGAGATAGCGGAGGAGGCGGAAGATGCACCCGGCGTGACGGAGTCCAAACCCCGGACTGAGGAGACCCGCACAGGGCCCCAGTCCGCGTCTGTCTACTTGCCCGACGTGGAGACTGCGCTGCCTCTGTTCAAGATGAAGAGGTTCCTAGTGCTCAGGGTAAAATGCTGTTATTCACTTAAAGCTGGTGTACCTAACTTTTGTTCTTGTTATTGTGTTATACAGGCATCGCAATTGTCCCAGCAGAGAGTGTCTTGTCTAAGTTACATGTTATAAACTAAAGAATAACCTAATAACAAGTTATATGTCGTGAACAAACCAGACACAACCAATGGCAAGTTCCTTCAAAAACGTAGTGTAATGGGCCACACTACAATATTACTGTCTCTGAATTGTAAAACCTTTCTACTACTGTATTACTTTGAAGTTACTTTCACCAGATATATATGTACAAACTAAATGTGGTTAGAACATAAAGTCAGTTATCTGTTATATTCCACATATTTTTCTCCCCATGAACTATAAATAATGGGAGTCTGTCCATCTGTCACATAAATTGTCCGACATAGTGCCTGCTTCTGCTTCAGCTTCAGGAAGAACACTTCCGCGGCTACTATTGGTGCAGATTTGATCTCTTCTGCTGATCTCGCGGTGGCATATAGTATGATAACAAAACACTATTTAATTTTGGGTTAAAATACAATGTAACGTTACTGACCTTTGTACCAGAGTAAAATATTACCCGGGTATGTTTTTTGAATGCCTTATGTACAATACATTACAGTAATTACCCTTTTTTTGTACTCCCATCTCCCAACAATGTTTTTTTACATACTGATAGCTGATTGGCTGCAAGGGTGGTCCTCTCTTTAACACTGAAAAACCTGATTGATGAACGAGACAGAAGCCAAACATACATCCATGTCAAATCTGGTGATAAAATCAAACTGTTTTGAGAGCGAGGAACTTGTGAGATGGATTTTGATACATACAGTATTGTTTATTGTGATTTCAGAGTTCAGTCCCGCTTTTCACAATCTATTCAATCAATCAACTTTTATTTGTAGAGCGCCTTTCCTACACAAGGCAACACAAAGCGCCGCACAACCCACATCACACCATTAGAATCTACAGATACATACAAAAAAAAAAAAAAAATCCTTTTAAAAACAACGATTAACATCACGATATTAAACACAGTTAAATAACAAGTAATTAAAAACCTTAAAACATTAAAATCACACAGGATTAAAATAATACATAGCCACAGTGCATTAAAAAATAAATATAAAATCCGTCAGTTGTAGAGATAAAATCCTTCTTTTTCTTTTTAAAGTTAGTTTGTTTGTAACTTTGGACCTTTCGAGGAATATGGCTTTGCACATTATCAGTGGATTTGGAAAAGAGCCAGTCTGTCGTAGGAAGTATTAAGCAGAAGTGGGTGTGGAGTTTAATTTGAATATCCTGATATCGGATCATAAAAGTATATGTCTCTATCTCTCTGTCCAGCAGCTGTGAGTAATGATGTCAGTGGTCAACTATAGTCCAAGATTGTTTTTAGGATTATTTCTGTTGTTTATTCAAGTTTATTCATGTGTAAAAATTGAGAATAGATGTGAGAAATAGAAAGGGTAATTTATCTCACCATGTAGTCAGGGTTGTGTCCTTGAGAAATGCAGGCTACAGTTGTGTATGACAATGTTGTGAATGTTATACCCATGTGTAATTACAAAATATTAAATTAAACAGTAATAATAGTATTTATGGCTGTAACAAAACACCACTACTCAATATATTCAATTTTTTGCATATGTTTAGCATCATAATACAAATCCAAATCCCAGTCAAATTCCCAAAACCTACTCTCAGTCAATCTGACGTTTATTTTAAGTCTTCCAAAGTACAAATCATGTGCAATAATTATTTCTTGTGAACGAGTATTTAAGCTGTACACTGAAATTAGATATATTACATCAAAAGTATCGCGATGCAGTTGAAACGGTGCTCAGGATTGTGACGAATCGTGATAAAACAAGAGAAGATCAAACTCTATTGATCACACAATGGAGAAATTCACACACATTTGCCATAAACAGGATCAATCAGATGAACAGATGAAAAAAGCCTCCTTGGCTAATTCTGGCTTTTTTAACTCATGTTTAATCATGTGTTTTATTATATTGCATTGTCCCCTTTGAAATAAACTAAATTCTAAATTCTAAAATTCTCAAAATGAGGGTGTGCAAAAAGACAGGAAATGTACATGATGTAATGATATAGAGTAACTAATGTGAAACAAAGTTATTGTTCGTACAATTAAAAAGTGATTTTAAATATATAGCGCGATACAATTTATTTACAGCCGGATAATAGACTAAACTAGTGCGATGTTTACAAACCAAACTCTCCCCGACTTTGACTTGAACCAGCACCAAACCAAAGCCTCAAAGACGTCAAACATATCATTGTTTATCTCTGTGAATAATAAAGTCGAGTGCCTTAAATTCCAGTGTGGTGAATCAGCTGATCCTCCTGTCAGAAGGAGAATAGTGTCGCTGGGAGTGGACTGGAGCAGGTTTTCAATTCTTTGACTTCTGACACAGACTTCTGAGGAACTGAGGTGAAATAAGGAAAGATATGTTTAAGATAAGATAAACCTTATTGATCTCACAATGGAGAAATGTACATGTCATTTTGGCATAGATGGAATCACTCAGGTTGTGCAAAAGGCGTGTGTGCAAAAGGCGTGTGTGCAAAAGGCGTGTGTGCAAATATGTTACAGTTAAAAATATAATATGTGCAGGATGTATTATGTAAAAAGTGGCTATAGCAGTGCTGGTTTTTCAGTCCTAGTGCAGGTCATGTGTGTGTGGGGGACCGCTGGTGTCTGGAGGAGGCCATTTTTTATGTTTATATTTACTCAAAGTCAATACTAAGAGAAGGATTTTCTTTCCCGAAGACATTAGATACGTGTGGCTAAACTAGTGAAGAAGATGACAAAGTCTGGGATCGCGTCTTTCATTCAGACAGAAGACATGTTTTATTGTCGATGGTAGAGACAGCACGAACAACACGAACACAGATACAACAGAATGCAAGTGTATTATACAGAGCGGAGGCATGGAGACCTCCAATCAGCAGCTTCCACGGTGTGCTTGTAGCTTGGCCTTCAGATAGACAAAACAAGGGAAAAGTACAGGCTTCTGCACATTGATAGAATGATGAGTTTAACTTTAACAAAAGTTGCTTAAAAGTGTTCTGAAATCTCACATACTGTTGTATAAAGCCCGTGTAATGTCTGTTAGCAAAGACACGCATATTGGAGAAGATCTGTACACAAGAAGCCGCTAGCATAGTTCTGTTAGCATTAGAGCCGGCCGGCTACTGCCGGTACTTCTGGCTCGCGTCAGGACGTTCTGGTGTGAAGTCCTCTGCGTCTGAAAACTAGAGAATGCGCGTCTGGTGAGCGGGGCTTCCGTGTTTCAGCGTTGGCGGTCTGAAAGCCCCATGAGACATTCTTCCCCAGACGCACTCGCTGCTTCCTGTCTGTCAGGAAGTCAGTGATCCACCTGCAGGTGGAATCGGGCACGTTGAGCTGGGAGAGCTTGTCCTGGAGCAGGGATGGCAGGATTGTGTTGAAGGCAGAGCTGAAGTCCACGAACAGGACCCTGGCGTAGGTCCCCGGGGAGTCCAGGTGCTGTAGGATGTGGTGGAGGGCCAGGTTAATGGCGTCGTCTACAGATCTGTTGGCTCTGTAGGCGAACTGCAGGGGGTCCAGGAGGGGGTCCAGGAGGGGGGAGATGAAGGACTTGAGATAGGAGAGAACCAGGCGTTCAAATGACTTCATGACGACAGGCGTCAGTGCTACAGGTCTGTAGTCATTGAGTCCTGTGATCCTGGGCTTCTTCGGGACGGGGACAATGATGGAGGATTTGAAGCAGGCCGGGACATGGCAGGACTGCAGAGAGGTGTTGAAAATGTCCGTGAACACAGGAGTAAGCTCACTGGTGCAGTGTCTCAGAGTGGCCGGAGACACGTGGTCCGGGCCAGGAGCTTTGCGGGGGTGCAGCCTCAAAAAAGTACTCAAAAGTTGCTTAAAAGTGTTATGAAATCTCACACTAGGCCTAACTGTGTGCATGTGTTTCTGTTTTTGTTGTGTCCGAATACTGGACTAAACTTCTGCTGGAGGTACATAAGAATAATAATAACAACAATAATAATAACTGTTTGGTTGTTAGTTTTTGTCTGTATGCTTTAAATTGGACCTAGAGTCTGAAATAAAGTTAATAAACTAAAACTACACTGAAACTATATAATAAGATATTGTGGAACTATTTACCTGATTATAAAGAAGCTGCATTATACTGGCTTAAATCTCTAACTTAAAGGAATAGGCCACCGTTTTTACATACTGACATATGTTCTTAGCTTACCTTAGGCCCTGTCCACACGAAGTCAAGCTCAGGCCTAAACGCAAAAATACTTTATCAATCCAGTGTATCGTCCATACGAGGCCGGCGTTTTGGGGGGGTGTAAACGAAAATTTTTGAAAGTAGGTCCCAGAGTGGAAAGATTTCAAAACTCCGTATATGCCGCTCCGTGGTTACTGCCTCTCCGTAATGTATCTGAGACGCTTGCGTCATCGCCCCGCCTCTTGTTAAAGCACGCATGCGCCGCACTCAGAAAATAATGACAACAACAATGTAGCTTGTTGGTTTTGTAATCCAGTGCGACCCGAAGCAACAGTTCAACCTCATCGTCCGTCCATACTAATGTAGTACCAGCTCGCCCACTCGCCATGTTGTCTGTTTACAAAATTCCGCGCATGCCCACGGAAGTTTGGGCTTGATCCCGTCATTGCGTCACAGCGCCACCAACAGGTCTGGCATAGTTTCACTGCGTTTTCAGGCGTATTGACTACATTCATATGGACGCACACATTTACTGAGCTAACTCCGTGTTTACAGAAAAAGTTTCTGAAATTATAAGCGTTTTGTCTTCGTGTGGATATAGCCTTAGACTATTTGATATGTACCTGTGTGATCTTTGTCCGTGTGCTCTGTCATGCAAACGGAGCACAAACGCTGCCTCTTCCACATACTGTATAGTACCAAATCAGCTCCCGTTAGAAGCTACAAAACTCTTCCACGTGAAATACACAGAAATGTAACATGTTGATTTTCTCAGCGGATAAAAGAGGTACTATATTGTGAGGCGTAATAATACGAGGAGCGCTACGTCCGCGCACTAACACCTAAAGACTTCTCGCTTCTCTCCCGCTCACTTCCGTCAATAGAAGCAGCGTGAGCGGGAGAGAAGTCTTTAGGAGTTTGTGCGCGGACGTAGTGCTCCTCGTATTATTAGCATAATAAAGCGCACAAAGAGCACACAAAAAATACAATAAGTAACTTCAAGGCTTCTTAGCTAGCTGTAAATTCTACATAAAAGCAAAAAGTAAATATCAATACATCTTTTCTATATATATATTTGAATTCCTTCTCACACGTACCATGACCTGCTGTTTAACATATGGTGATTATGTTTGTCATGCCGTTGTACTGGTGCCAGTTTAGTGTCAGTTAAAGTGAATGTGTGGTGACAGTTTTAAAGCTGAGTTGTGTGTTTTCGTCTGCTCAGCCCGGCACACTGACCCAGGCCATCGCCGACGTCACCAGACTCGTGGACAAGCAGATGGACGGCGGCGTCCTGGGAGTCTGGCTCATGGCAGAGTAAGTGCAGCAATCCACAAAACTACTGTACAATCTTCATTCTACATTCTGCATTTCATTGTTTGTGATTCATTGAGTCCCAAGACCCACTTTTATTCTATTCTCTGGCTTTTAACACAGTGAGTTTGTTTTGATTCGATTCATTTGAATGTTATTTTTTTTGTCTTTCTATGTTCTATTGCATTCAACTGGATTTTAAGTCTCGTCCTAAGACCCACTTTGTTTTATTCTCTGGCTTTTAATACTGTATCAGTTGTGTTCTTTCATGTTATTTTCATTTATTTCATTGGTTTTGATTTGATACTGTTTATTCCCTAATCCTAACCCATTCATTTTATGGTTTTCTATTTATTCATTTAGTTGTTTTTTTTGTTTATCTGAGCAATCCATATGTCTTTTGGGTATATATTAATTGAAGACTTTTCTTTAGTATTACTGTTGAGATGAATGTACTCCCATCTGCCACCACTGTCTTCTGTCTGGTCCTCGTAACCGACCAATCCAGTGAGGCCGAGGGTGACCTCACGGCTGGTATATATTGGGGGTTAGCCTGCTGCTGCCTAGGCAAGTCTCTCTCTTTCCACCATGTGTTATATCAATAAAGCAGATTGGCTTGTTAGACATTGCACATACCTCCATTTTACATTTCCAGTCAAATGAAAATGAATGGGATTACAGTAAAGTAATTCTAAAGCAAATTCGACAATCACAAACTGAAAAAACCCTGGTTATTGTTTCTCATCAGTTTCCAACAGTGCTAGCATCGTTACACAAGGGTTTTCTAATGATCAATTAACCGTTTGACATAATTAGCAATCACAATGCACTACTAAAGAGAGACCCACTGCTGCCAGACATGTGCCTCTGTACACCAGTGATGGTTTTCAATCACAAATCTCCTGTTTCCACAGCTGTTTCTTTTTCTCTGGTTTTTATATATCTATGTTTTTGCACATGAGACTTTTGTAAATGTATTCCAATGTGATTTTGCTAACGGCAAATCAGCTGAATCTGAATCTCACTAAGAATAGGCAAGAACAACAATAAGTCTGTTGCTCTGATTCATTTAACTTGATTTCTAAAACATTTTTGTTTTGTGGTCTTACGGATCAGATGAGAGCAAGATTTTTTTAATGTCTTAAACAACTGGCCTCCGACATACCGCCATAAACCAGTCTGTAAGATGTCAACACTTCCAAACTTAGAGCTAGAGCAGTGACGTGTGGTGAGGTTTGAGATTGGGGAACAAGTTGCAGAACTCTTGAGCAGTGTTCGAATCAGTGTTTTTTCGAGGAAGCACTGTCATGCGATCTGCGAGTGATCGCAAGCCGGGCAGGATGTCAAGAAACGTTAAAGAATCTGGTCAATTTTCAACATAAGGCACGAGATTGACAATCTCTTGCTCCTCCCACTATTTGAAACAAACCTCGTAGGTCCTGTGGCGGCCTACTACTTCTTGCTTTGATTGAGGCTGAGTTTACACGGAGACAATGTTGCAGTAAAACGGTATAGTTGGATGTCGGTTGCTACCAACCGTTCATACGGAGACTGTGTTTCATGGGGGTGAAAACGTACGTGTTCAGATCCAGCCTGCAGAGTGGGACAACTCAGAAACGCTGCACAGCGGGGACTCTCTTTCACACTCGCGAGAGGGAAAAGGTGTGAAATCCCCCTATGCTCTGACCCCCACCTCCGCGCTGCTCTCCGCACGTAAATTTGGACATGCGCAGTAGCAGAGAACAAACAAAAACAACAATGGCGCCGCGCGCACTAACTAGCTTCGTGGGCTTCCAGCGCGGGACAGAGGATAATTCTACTTCTTCGTTCGTCCAAACGAGACCACGCGAAGCTCTAGGTTCAGTTTCCATGTTCACAGCTGCTGTTAAAAGGCAGAATGATGTTGGTACTTTCTGAAGGTCTTGCACAAGAAGTGAGTACACTGCCAAGAGGGGGGCTGGGCACGGGGCTGGGGGTCGTGTGTCGTGTTGTAAAGTTTCTCTGCCCACTACTGGCCGGGCGCTAGAACTACATCGTTTTTCAACCTCATGTGAACGCTGAGAAATTTGCATTAGGAGCCATGTCGTTTCTGTTAATAGCCTGGAAACGTCTGCGCAGCGTCTCAGTATAAACAGGGCCTGAAAGTCCAGTTTAGAAAAAAATATTATCTTCAATCAAATTAAAATAATCCATCCATCCATCCATTTTCTTCCCCTTAATCCATTTCTGGGTCGGGGGGGTGGCAGTCAGAGCGGCACCCAGTTCACAGAGCACCAGCCCCTCACTGATCCTCCTGCAGGTGGTGAGTCCACAGGAGCTGAGATCTTTCAGCGGGGGCTTCAGGCAAAGTGGGGTTAAGTGTCTTTCCCAAGGACACAACGACAGCAGTCATCAGCGGGAGTCGTGAAGTAGGTCTTATGGTGGGCTCGAACCCACGACCTTCAGGCCTAAAGGCCACTGCTCTACCAACTGAGCTACTCTCGCCCCGAATTAAAATAATCATAAAAGTAAAATAATTAGCGTATTGGACCGATTGTTTGTTAGCAACTCGGGTGTGAACTTCAGAATCACTATTGCCCCCAATGGTGAGGCACGGATACTGCCTGCCTCAAACCAAGCTCTCTCTTTCCTTGTCTTTTGCTACGAAACTAATAATAAATAGTACATACGTGCAATACATTACTAAACAAAGCAGGATATTAGAAACCATCACCAAAATAGCAACCAGCACGAGCTGAGTGCTCTCACACAGTCCACTGTGGGAGTGAGGGATCTGGGGGAGGCTGCTTCACCTCACTCTTTGAATAGGAAAACCAGGATTTCAGCCACTTTGACTCCAAAAAGGATCAAAACAGCTTTGAACTGCACCAATAATGCATTAAAAGCATGGGACAGTGGAAAACAATAACTCAAATGATCAAATGAAATAATAAGAAGAAGAGTGAGGCCCTTCTGATGCAAATACTTCTATACTAGTTCTTTGGGGACATGATTCTTTTGGTAATGCAAATGCAGTATATGTCCTACGTATCGTATTGGACTTATCAATTCAATTAAATCAATTTTTGTATAGCCCTACATCACAGTTTTCATCTTGTATCTCTCAGGTCAGCCACTTTCAGGTTTATAAATACACTTTATCATAAACATAACAAACCTCTACAGGCAGTCTACAGGTAGTTATAGATATTCAACCATCTTCCTTCTATTCTGCCTGCTTTAATAACCTGTATGCTGCTGTTTAATGGACAACATGAGATAATAAAGTGCCTCATTTCCTTCACAATAACGGCTAATCCACACAAGCTGTGGATAAGGATCTGCTCATTATTGGTTGTGCCAGTGAGGCTTCCCTCTATCTAACAGATCTTCAGATCTAAAAGAAGCTTCTTCCCTAATAATCTTTTAAACGTGTTTTAGGTACATGTTTTCCTCCTGTCTTGTTACATCAGGCTTTACACCATTGCACTACAGCTGCACAAATGGGCAAATCTCAGTCGCAGGCACTGTTTCCTTGTCGTGTGGCCTTAATTACCCTCGCAGTACCCTCCAAGAACATGCACTCAGTCAGCTGCAGGCCAGTGATCTAACTGACTGCTGTGCGGCGCAAAATGAGGAGACCGCGGGACGTTACCAAATGCACTTGGAGATGTCAGCTCCTATCAGTCCAGCCCCAGCTTTCAGGGAAACATTTAAGGAGGCGGCCCATGTGAGAATGAATAAAACATGCCATTTATGCAGCGCTGTTCGACACAGTTCATGTTTGTCCTACATCTGGCCCCGCAGTAATCGCCGCAACACAAGCCCAGACTGTGGAGACTGTGAAGACTATGGAGACTGGCCACACACAAACATAAGGGCATTATATGGTAATACAGGCAGCGGAGAGGCCTCAGGGAGCACTGTGAGTAACGGAGGATTACAATGTGGGTTCACTGTCGTATGTTATGCCTGTTTAAAGTTGAAGTCCCCAGCTTTAAAACAGAGAAAGTCATTTTATTATTGGTGCATTTATTACTGTGTGTGTATAACATTTCTGGTCCAATTTTGTATTAGATTATCAGTAGCACATGGGAATTTCTGTTTTCAAAGTTGGCTTCCCGCAGATTTAAACAGAGAAAGTGTGTATTCTTACATCTGGCCCCACAGTAATTGCTGCAGCACAAACCCAGACTGTGGAGATTGTGGAGACCGGCCACACACAAACATAAGGGCATTATATGGTATTACAGGCAGCGGAGAGGCCTCAGGGGCCACTGTGACTAACAGAGGATTACAGTGTGGGTTCACTGTGGCCTCATGGAGTTAAACCAAAGTGAATAAGGCCATAATATCAAACTTTTACCATTGCATTATCATAGAGTGTAGTAGGTGCATATAGTTTGTGCATGTAATTGTCACATGGTAGAATTAATGTGGACCCAAAATGCAGGAATACCAAAAATAATGGTTTGATGATCATTTAAAAAAAAGTTCAGGTAAAAACATAACTCAAAAATCCAGGGAGCCAGGAACAGAACATAACAGACATTGACTATACAATGAACCAGCAACAAGAGGAGAGCAGCACAGGGTAAAAATAGACACAGGGTAAATATAGAAAGACAGGTGATTCTCTCAATCAAGAGAACAAGACAGGAAGCAAAACTGAAATAAAATCACGATTCAAAATAAAATACAAAATCCACAGCAAAATCCCACATGATGCATAAATCTTATTTGTTCAAAATGTATCACTTTATTTTTATTTTTTTATTACAACTTTGTGTTCAAAACGTCGTGCCCGAAGGATTTGACGGCTGGGTATTTAAACATTATATCAAAGATCTGCCTTTCCTCAACGTCCCATAGTTAATTTTTAAAAGAGTCCAGAGTAGGACAGTCCCACAGTCTTGGAATTTTGTTTAGTAATTTAGTAGCAAATCAGATGGGAGAGCGATCCAGTGCTCGACTTGTTGGGTGCTCTATGCCCACATGAATCAGTGCTTTGTTCCGTGTTTGGATAGGGGTTCTTTTGATGATTGGACACTGGGATTGGAGAGCTTTTGGGACTAGTCCATGCAGCAGCTTGTAGCCGTAGCACATCACTGCAAAGTTTCTCCTTTGTTTCAATATGGTCAATTTTAGTTCTTTGTAGCCATCATCAGCAACTGGTTATGTGTAGGAGTACTGTAGTATGATTCTAATGGCTTGATGTTGGAGTTTCTCCAAGTGGTTACAAAACTTGTGAGCGTAAGTTCTTGTTTCCATAAATCAAATACCCGTTACTTAAAATCAGGTACCCCAGCTTTATGTTTTCATTATACTTTGTCAGATCCAATAGAAAGAGTCTTAGGATATTGAAAAGCTGTGAACAGACTGTATCACTGTATGCAGTCTTCATCTCTCTATCTCGTTATCTTCTGCATACGTGTAAGAAAGAGCAGAGTGTCACTATTTGATGCTTTAGGCTGAGAGCTGATTATTTATTTATATTTATTTATTTATGGACATTTTATTGGAGGATAAACCCCATGAGATGTATCATCTCGTTTTTGTGGGGGGTCCTCATGATGATATCCAAAGAACATAGGATAGCAGAGTAGATACAGTCAAGTAAAAATAAAACAAAAACAAAATAATTATAACAACAACAATAAAAAAATTATAGACAGTAATAATAATACAAATAAATAAACAAATTAAAGTAAAAATGATAATACTACAAATACACACACACAACTCATGCCACACACTCACACAAGCTCTCACTATTCGGCTGAGTTAAGGCTGAGTGTGGGTGGTCCTCTATTTTTCACTTTTCTGTCTGAAAAGCCTGCTCGAAGAATGCGACAGAGGCCAGAGAATACATGCGATGTGAAAACGAGTGGATTTTTATCACATCGTCATATGTTATGCCTCTGTGTGTGTAAAATGTTTGGTCCAATTTTGTTTTTAGACAATCGGTAGCACATGGGAATTTCTGTTTTCAAAGTTTGCTTCCCCAGCTTTAAACAGAGAAAGTGTGTGTTCTTTGGGAATTTTATATTGTGTGTACGTGTATGTGTGTGCGTATTTAATGCTTTTGGTTACGTTTTAGTTGCACATTGGGAGAATATTGGTACACTATTGCCCTGGTGCACTATTGTTTAAATCTGTTCGTGTCCTCTCTTTGTCCTCTTCTCCCCCCGCACCATGTTCATCCAGGTTGTGTTAATTCCATTAGCTTTCACCTCCCTGTGATCCTGAATATTAGCCTGAATTATTCTAACTACAACCTACATTAGTCGATTCAGAGCAGTGGACTGTAATCAGGACACGTGGAGGAGGGCTGAGCCAAACCAAGCTACGTCCTCAAAAAGAGTTTAGCTTTGTGGCTCTCAGGTTGAGGTATGAGGCCCCCTGGTGGTACACAGCGTCTTTGCGTGTCCAAAAAAGCGTTTTATAAGTTCGTTGTATTATTATTGTTATTATTACACACAGGCTGCGACTGGTGTGTTGGAGGTATTTGCTCTTTTAACAGTAGAACTTTTGTATGTATCTAAAAGGTAGTTTGTTCCTTCGTCATTATGTTTAAAATTATTTCAACTTAAAGATATATAGGAGGATTTTCTACTTCCCGGTGGATCATCAAGACTATTGGTCCTCCCAACTGTCAATCATTCTGGTAATACGTCAAATAAGACCAGAGAGTTTTGGTCAAAAAGTGGAGAGGGGATTCTTTCCTAAAATTTGGGAAAATCCTCCTATATACCTTTTGACTCTAAAACTCTAATCTCGAATTAACTCCCACTCTGAGGAGCACAGGGACTGGCCTCCTGCTGGTCCCAGAGTCTGGTCTAAACATGGGGAGGCAGCGTTTCATATTTCTGCAGCTAAAATCTGGAACAGTCTTCCTGAAAATGTGAGGCGAATCCGTCATCACCCTGTGTGGAATGATTGGAAAAAAACCTGAACTCTGAACATTGTAAAGCGCTTTGGGTGACCTTGGTCTGTAAAAATGCGCGATATAAATAAACATTACTGACTTACTTAGTCTGATTATTTATTTCTATCTTGTTTTGTTAATCACGTTGCGTATGAACTGTGCTATACAAACAAACTTGCCTTCCCTTCTTTTTAGCCATGCTTTTCTGTTTTCCTGGTTTGCGTATATTTCAGCCTCAGCCCTGACTCACACCTGTGTTTCATGAGACCAGGGGTAATCAATGTTTAGAAAGTCAAATATGTTCTGAGGGTGTGCAGAAAGAGTTGAGATTTATGTTGCGAGTTATTAAAAAGAACGGAGGCTTTGAAACGCGATGGCTTCAGACACGAGTTCTTGTAAAGTTGTTTATTGTTTTCACTTGAGGGATTTGGAGGCTTTGTTGCATATTGTAGATCTTTTGCCAACGGCTGTTTTGGAATCCTCTTCCTTTTACTCGTCTCTACATAATTGAATAGCTTTGTTTTTAAGCCATTTTCTGTTCCTACACACCTAACATGTTTCTCACACAGAATATGGATTGAAGTTAATAAAGTCATAGAAATCTCACTTCTCACTCAGGGAAAAACCTCTCACTGTGTTTTTGAATAAATGTATACACAGACAGAAGTATTTGTGTGGTCTTGCTATAGTTCCTCCATTTATATGACTACAGCATTGTCCTCAACACAAAAGGCAGTTGGGTCATACTGTATGCTAATGTGCGGCAAGGCAAGTTTATTTGTATTACGCAGTTCAATCAATCAATCAATTTTCTTTATAGAGCTCTTTACAACACTCAAGGCGACCAAGGTGCTGTACAATAAAATCACATGAAATTCATTTAAACATTTATGCATTCAAGCAATAAAACGCTAAAGTTAAAAAGCATTCAAAAACGTTCATACACAAGGCAGCTCAAAGTCCTCAACAAAAAACATGAAAAAAAAAAATCACGATACATTCAAAAGAGTGAAGATTCAATCTGTTGTTTTATGCAGGGCTAAAAAGAATTGTTTTTAACCTGGATTTGAACATTGTCAGAGAATAAGCCCGTCTCACATTTTCAGGAAGACAGTTCTAGATTATAGCTGCATGAATTTGAGGCAGCAGGCTCCTCATGTTTAGTCCTGGGCACCAGCAGGAAGCCAGTCCCTGTGCTCCTCAGAGTCCCAGCTGGAGGCCAGTCCCTGTGCTCCTCAGAGTCCCAGCTGGAGGCCAGTCCCTGTGCTCCTCAGAGTCCCAGCTGGAGGCTAGTCCCTGTGCTCCTCAGAGTCCCAGCTGGAGTCTGAGTTGTTCATATGGCACTAACATGTCACAGATGTACTTTGGTGCGAGGACATAGACATGATTTTTTGCAAATAAAGTTTTGCTTGAACGTGTACAGACCCAGACAGAGATATGATTGTCTTTAACTGTGTGTATCTTTACCAGCAAGTATTAAAAAACTACAACAAGCAGTGCAGTTGTACGGTTTTAACACACAATGAAGAGCTTATCATCATCTATCAGAAAACATCTATGTTTTGTCCTCCAGACTCTCAAAGGAAAAGCTGGCTTTTCTGGCTCTTGTTTTAGCCAGCGTGCAGATTCTTACCAACAGTTGTTATGACCAAAATTGAAAACAAAAACGCAAAGTATGTCAACATTTAACTTAAATATTTATCATGTTTAGCAACTTGATTCAGATTTATTTTGTTTGCCAGTTGCAGTAACACCATGTTGAAATACATGAGCAAAAGTCCCCAGTGTGCACCAAGACAGAACATAAATAAAACAAGCTTAAAGTACAGAAATAATTGTCACAGTGAAATAGAAGAACAATTAAAGTGCTTTGTTTAAACAGCTTATGGAAAGAAAAGTAGAGAAAAGTAAATCAGACTTTTCTCTAGGTTGGTGTTTCATTTTACTTTTCTCACCGTTTACTCTTGACAGAAATTCCACCACAGTTTCTTGCACTCACAAACTTGACGCCTGCTCTTTCTGAATCTGTTGTTTCCAGAGTGGACCACTGGAACAACGAGAAGGAGCGTCTGGTGATGGTGACCGAGCGCTCTCTCCTCGTCTTCAAGTACGACTTCCTCATGTTCAACTGTGAGCAGGTGCAGAGGATCCCCCTGCACTTTGTGGACCGCATCGCCCACGGCAACTTCATCTTCCCCAAACTCTCCGTGCAGAAGTAAGTGAGAGGCCGATGGAAATATACTGTCTCTGGTCCAAAGAGCAGATATAAGTCCATATGAGGGAGATATACTTTGGTGTGTGTGTGTGTCTTTAACTGTTCAGGTTCTTTTCTGTCTGTTGGGCTTATGCAATGTGTTTCGTTGCTTTTGAGCAGAAGCCTCGATATTACTGTTTTTGACCTTTGTTGGTTATTTAAAGGCGACTTGAAAAATCTTCTTACTTCTTTGAGCTTTTAACCACGTTACAACATTGTCCCTCATCAAAAACAGACCTGTTGTTTTTTGATCCGTCCACGTTGATATCAGGAACTTCTTCAGGAACTTCAGCCCCTTCTGTGAAAAAGCTTCTGCCTCAGTCTTGTAATAGTATGATGTCATCAATGTACCATTATGACATCACGCTTAGAGCAGTTTCCATTAATTAGTCTTGGCAATGCTAAATTACATTCTTACACGGTTACAGGGTTGTGTTTTCAGCCAGCAATTTTCTATTTGGAAAAAAACAAATTCTACACCTCCCTCTGGTGGAAGCAAAGGGAGTTACAGGCGGATAGCATTTTTTTCAAGTAATAATGCATCAATTTTAGTTAGCACTTTTTGGACACTCAAAGATGCTTCACATGTCATTATTATTTCACTGATAAACGACAGATGTAGCCGCAGCTGCCCTGGGGCACACTGACAGAAGCGAGGCAACTATAGTAAGTGACATCGGCCTCTCTCACCACCATCCACACACACACGCACACCATACTCCTTTACTTATATCTCTGTGCAGCACTTTGGAAACTTGTTTTTCTAAAATTTACTATAAGAATAAAGTGGACTGGACTGTGGCACCAGGTGTTCCCAGAGGTCTCCCATCACAGTGTTAACCAGGCCCTGTACCGCTTAGCTCCAGAAGTTTGACAGGATCTGGTTTTGACCTGCAAGTGGAGAATATTTCACATTGTACAACGTTAAATGACAAAGTAAAGAATCCAATTGTTGCTTTCAATGGCCTAAAATAATCCAAAATATGTCTTCTTTACTAAGGGAACAAAAAACAAAAAATGTCCCAAATATATAATAAATCACAGGAGTCATAGTTTGACACTACAACAGGTGATCCCATTAATAACTCGCCCTCTCCTTCACCTCCCACATCACTCTTGTTTCCAGTGGTGCCAGACGCCAGTCGAAGCCGTATTCTTTTAGTGGAGAGTCTGTTGTTTGTTGGTCCTCTCCAGGTGCACCCCTGAGAGCAGCATCTGTGGGGAAAGATGTGTTTTAAGTGCCTTCTTTCCAAACCATCTAGACAAACTAATTACCCAGAACACCTTCCAAACTCAGTCAGAGAACAACGGAAAGAAGCAGAGAGCACGAAGAGGGTGCGGGCCTGTTTGTGTCTTTGGCAATGCAGAAAAATAAAGATTCACTTTGGAATAGGGCCAACACTTGAGGCTTTGTTTGATCTTCACCTGCATCTGAAATGATTCCAAACACAATAGACTTGTCACTTTCTCAAACTGTGGAGTCTTTGTTTGTACGTTTTGGAGACAATTGAACAGACAAAACAGGGGATTTATTAGAATTGGTTGGCAATAAACATTATTTGAAAGATTACATTTATTGCTGTTCAAGAAATGGGGTTAAGATTTGGCAGAGCACTCCATGACGATTGCAGAAAGGGGAAATGAAACAAGAGATGCATCCATCCATCTTCTTCCCCTTAATCCATTTCTGGGCCAGGGGGTGGCAGTTAGAGCTGCTCCCAGTACACAGAGCACTAGCCCCTCTCTGATCCTCCTGCAGGTGGTGAGTACTTAGCTGCCTTGAAGCGGGGTTAAGTGTCTTGCCCAAGACACAACAGCAGCAGACATCAGTGAGAGTCATGAAGTAGGTCTTGTGGTGGGCTCGAACCCACGACCTTTAGGCTCAAAGGCCAATGCTCTACCAACTGAGCCACTGTCACCCCACTGTGGAAACAAGAGATTATGGGATGAAATCTCTCGAGGCCGAGACCCTGGTGGTGGGAGCTGTTATAGAAGGGGGAAAGAGCTGGTCCGGCCAACAAGGCGGTGATGGGGAGGAGTAGGGTTGCTGCATGAATGAAGCTTCCTGTATGATATGGATGTGAGAGCTGTGATTAGGATCATACAGAAGGCGCATGCCAGACTTATTGTACAGGTTTTTAGTGGTAGGGGAAATCGGAGCACCCACAGGAAACCTACCAGACACAGGGAGAACATGCAAACTCCACATAGACAGGCCTGGAGGTGGAATCGAACCAATCAATCACTTCTGACACAAACACAGATAAACTACTTAATTTTCGTCAAACCACTTTTCAATTGCAAACTGGTTTGTCCAACCAGCATAAAGCAGACTCTTTGTATTCCGATAATTAGCTCCAAAATATGCATCACTTTATATAGATAGATAGATAGATATTATTTATTTCAAAACCTGCACAAACATCATCTCAAAAATCAACATAACAGACAAATATACAGGTGCATGGTTTGAAAAGGAGGTGGATGAAGCAAATGCTTATTGAATTCCAACCCCCTCACACATTCAACACAAAGTACAGTACAAGAACCTTATACATACAGGATCATTCGTAAACAGCTGGAAACTTATACGGTACATAGAATGAACTAATACATGACATGACTACAGAGACAGGACAAAACAAGACAACACACACACACACCACAGATACACACAACACCTCACAGACACAGGCCCAAACACTCTCTGACCCTACACCCTCACTTTCTGCTTAAAACTGTACACAAGTATGCAGCGTGGTTGTATGATTATGACACACAATGCGGAGCCTAGAACAGCAATTTTTACTTTTGTCTTAAAATAAACGTCAGATTGACTGAGAGTATGTTTTGACTTGACTGGCCTTTGGATTTCTATTATGATGCTAAACATATGCAAGAATCATAGAATATATTGTGTGTCAGAGGTTTGTTACAGCCATAACTACTATTATTTCAGTAATTTTATATTTTGTATTTACAAACATTCACAACATTGTCATACACCACCGTAGCCTGCATTTCTCAAGGACACAACCCTGATTGACATCCTATAATCAAATCAAATCCATCTTGATTATTTTCTGTTATACTACTATACTATATCAGTGCAAGTTTACGGTCCTTGTGCAGGTCATTAAGTGACTTATTGTACAGTCTGACAGCTGAGAGGATGAAGGCCCTGCAGTAGCGCTCCTTCTTGCACTGAGGCCTCAGTCTTCCTCTAAGAGCTCCTCCACAGTCCTGTGCAGTGGGAGGTGTTGGTGATGGAGGTGAGTTTGGCGAACACCCTCCTGTCCCTCACCTGCTACAGAGTCCAGGGGCAGAGGGGAGCTGGCCTTCCTGAGACACCATCTCTTCTTTGAGATATGTGACATTTTTACTCATCCATGCTCATGTGGATACCGCACATGACAATAATGATGATAATACAGTACATTGGTTTTGTATCGGCTTAAATACAGAGAAATACTGTGTACCGTATTCAAAGTGACCAGCAGAGGGCAGTCACCTCAAAGCAGCTGATTGGGAAAGACATTTGCATGTCAGCTTCAGATCCTCATCTTCAGACGCTGCTCTGTCTAAAGGCACTAAACTTTTAAAAACCAGGTCAGAAAACATGCAGCCAAATGTTGAGATAAATTTCCAGTGTACTTTAGGTGTATTATAAGACGATTTCTACACATCTGTGTGTATTTATAGTAAAAGTTACTCTTCCAGATCTAAAACATGTTACTATTTTGGTGGGAAAGTGCCTGCGGCCAAACCCATAAATCGTACACCAGGTGAACTGTGAAGCCGAGTTATAGAATACTTTTTGTTTCGCTGTTCTAAACTGCAGCTGTCTTCAGCCACTGAAGTAAAGTGCAATTAGGAAATTGCAGGTTTAAAAAGACAATGAGATTTAGTGAATGTAAACAATAATAGGATCTAGCAAGATTAAATTCTTACAAGATTGTGCACACAGGTGGAAAATGGTCTTTAGAAAAATGGGTTACATTCCCTTGAGTTCCTCATTTCAATTGAAACATAACACCTTCTCAAAAAAGAGAGAGCAAAAAATAATTGAATGTGTATGTACCCTCTATTGCCCGAATAAACCTAGACAAAGTATAGTGTATTTGTTAATGATAATGATATTGAATCAGTTTTATACAGTGCTTTTCTACACACTCAAAGACGCTTTACATGTCATTATTCTTTCACTCCATACACGGAGTGTACCATCAGCCCCTCTGATCACCACCAGCTATTCACACACACCAGACTCATTCTAGGCAAGGACGGTGAAGTGTCTTGCCTTTTGACACTTTACAGCGGCAGCTGCCCCACCTGGTGTTCCTGGAGGTCTCCCATCACAGCACTAACCAGGCCCTGCCACCACACATATTCGACGTTCCAACTCTTGAAGTCATTACAACTTCAATCACACTCTTGTCATCAGAATCCAAACTTTGATATAAGCTGCCGATTATCATGTCGTAATGTAGCAGAGAAACATGATTTAACAATAAGGTGTATATAGTTTAACCGTGAGTTTTCATCACCCATTAACCTTCATCTACTATGACCAATAAAGCACATAACTCTGCTCTGACACCTCAACAACACTAAAAATACATAATTAGCCACATCGCAGGATTCAAAGAACTTTAGAAAACAGTAGCGACTAATAGTCCAGAAATTACGGTAAATCAATCAATCAATCAATCAACGTTTATTTGTAGAGCGCCTTTCCTACACAAGGCAACGCAAAGCGCTTCACATCCCCTATCACATCATGCATAAATCAAACACATTAAGAGCACAAGATATATTAAAAACATTAAAAATTAAATCACAAAAATTAAAAACCTTTAAACATTAAAATCACAGATGGGACTAAAATCATAAATAGTCACAGTGCATTAAAAAGATTAAAGATAAAAACAAAGATGAAAAGATAAAATCATTAAACATAAACATTACTTATTGTCCCTTTTAGACCTGACATAATCCATTTTGCTCATTCCGTTTGTAAATCCTCTCTTTGGAGGTTTGAGATTTGCTATGACAACCCCGCAGGGGGAGAACAGAAAGGAACGGAGGAGATAGTGATTTTGACAGAGTCCTGGAGGTGCAGCGGCTGGGACCAATGGGAGCTGCTTCAGTTTGACTTTCTGGTTCTTCTGTGATGGGAATGAGGCCTTTGGGCATTCCTGTAACCGCACTCTGCTCTGGGAATCTTCACTTCCTTATTGAGTGAAATTTACAACAGAAGTGCTGCTTTCATTCCCAGGAACTCAAACTCCTATAAAAAAAAAAAAAAAAAACAGTTTTTACAAATCAGTATGCTAGTATCAAGACGTTTTATTTAGGTTTTCTGTCCACACGCCCAGAGGTGGAAATGTAGTTTGCTACATTCAATCAATACGCCAAACCATATTTACATTGGAGCAGAGACAATAACATCCAATCCAACTATTTAAAACACACTTTTAAAACATTACAATGCCCCAGTCCAATTTAAACCTATAGGGCAAAACGCATGTTAACTGTTGATTATTATTGTCTTTTGATAGAATTGATTAGATCTGTTTCCTGAATAGAAATACAATAGAACCATGTTATTTCGATCATTAATTATTGTATTTTTTGTACATCTCTCTAACCATCAGCATGGGCCTTTTTCACAGCCATGTGGAAAAAAGGTGCGAATTCTCTGCTTGGACAATTTGTTCTCGCAGTAGCGGAGAACAAACGTACACAACAATGGCGGTGGGTACACAAACTAGCTACGTGTGCTTCGAGCGCTACACGGAGGACAATTCTACTCCGTCGTTCGTAGAAACAAAACTACGCAAAGCTGTAGTTTCAGTTTCCATTTTCGCAGCTGCTGTTAAATGCAGAATGATGTTGGTGCATTCTTTCACGTCTTTGCGGCGGCCCGAGTAGGATGTTGTTGAGGAAGTGAATATACTGCTGGGGGTCGTGTGTGTCGTATTGTAAAGTTCCTCTGCCCCCTACTGGCCGGGCGCTGGAACTACATCATTTTTCATCCTCGTATGAACGCTGGTAAATTTGCATAAGGAGCCTGGAGCCTGCATTGGGGGCCTCGTTCCAGGTTTTCCACTCTCCTCAGGTTGACGGAATCCTCTTAGTCCTCTCCTCTTTCCAGCAGTCCATGGCCTCAGTCTCCAGCCGCCTTCACACCATCAAAGCACCATCCCCAGTGGTCTCCTGCTTCCTGTGCGGCAACGGCAACCATAACTGCCATGGACGCGACTTCACCCAGACGTGCATTCGATTTCACGCCCACTGTCATGATCCTTCTCTTCCCTCTCTGTTTTCAAAACCATCTATTAAACTCCTACTTAAAGGCATCTTCATTCTCTCTCCGGGCTCCCCTGACCGTAGGTGGCCCATTGCCATGACCATTCTCCAGCGGCTTCTCTTCGAGCTACTCTCCAGTAAATATTCTCCCCATTTTGCTTCCCTCTTAAAGAGCGACTAAACGCGGTCAGCTCTAGATCATATACGGAATCGGGACAGAAGCGGAAGTAAATACAACAAACTACCTTTTCATGCCTAAACTTAACCAGCCATTCCCATAAAATAACCCCAACCCAGCCTTAACCCTAACCTTAACCATCTTACTCAGACGCCTAAAACTTAACCAGTCACAACTTAAGGACTTATTAGTCTAAAACTAATTCGAAAGTTGGAGTGTTACTTCCGGTTTCATCACAATTCCGTATATGATCTAGTGCCGACCGACTAAACACCTGTGACCAGCTTTAGTCCACCACATGAACATTTGAACATTTTCTCTAAAAAAGGCATTGCCTGGAGGACCAAGGGACAAGAAGGGGGGCTTAGAGTTGGGCGTGGTCTGGGCTGTAAATGACAGCTCACTAGTCACACAAAAAAAAAACAGATATGTACTGTAGAGAGCACTACAATAAACATATGTATGCAGTTTATGAGTTAAAAAAGTTGATTTGGTGTTTAGTCGCTCTTTAACTAGCTAGTTTCGCCTTTGCTTTATTTGGATTCCCCATAAGTGAATTTAGCTATCTTTAATCCTTCCAGAGACTTGGCTCTTTCCAATCTGATTTATTACTCGATCACAATAATCTCCACCTCAAACACTCCAAAAGGAAAGGTGCCTGTAACATCGTTATCGCTCGCTCTCTTAATTTTCCCGTCCATATAAACACATGATGAAATTCTCTGGCCTCAGTTCTCAGAGAGGAGATCGCCCACTATTTCTCACCCCTGAAAACCATATCATGTCAACATCATGGTTTCAAGCCCATCAATTACTATTTATTATTACTATAAACAATTAGTCCATTTCTAACATACAGTCTATGGTCGCGGCCTGTCTCACATTGTCAGGACTTGTACAATGTCAATAGCCGGCGATAAATCAACCTAAGTTTGTCATAATTTCAAATTGATTGAGCTCCACTTTAGTTGTCAGCTCCACAAATATCTTTCTAGTTTGATCATTCTTGCCTGTTGTTTGTCCATTTTAATACTTCTTCCACTGAGGGCCTGGCGCGGACCAGAGCTTATAAATGCATAAAATACTTTAGCTGTGGAGGGTTTTGGACGAGCACTTGAAGATTTGTCCGTCTCGGGAGCTGACATGCCGACTGGTTGTGGTTGAAGGTGGAAATCTTTTTTGCCAACAGCCCGCAGCTATGAGATCCCAGTGTTTGCATCAGGGCATTTCACATGGATCTACAGTCAGAGGTTGCATGTGCGGTTTTGTAATGAATAATGTGAAGATGTTAGACCACTGAAAAAGGTGAGGGGAGATGCAAAGCAGCTGACCGCTTCATCACCTTGCTTCCCTGCACTCTGCAGAAGGAAAAGAAGACGTCTTTTGTTGTTGGCATTTAAATGAAGCGATTGAAAACTGCATAGTTGTTCCTACAGGACGTGATTGTGTGTGGTATTGAGAGGTTGTTTTTGTATTTTCGTAATTTGCGTCACAGTACTATTTCCCTCCAACCTTGACCCATTTAAGCATTCACAGCATTCCATCTTTCTCTTTTCTTCACATTGAGCTGATGTATGAAATATGATCTGATTTATATGTTATGTTATTTTTTATTTTTTAATATAACATCACCCATCGATAGTAGGGTTGGGCGATATGGGCCTCAGCATGTATCACGATTTTTGTTGGTATGTATCACGATATGACGATATGATAATTTTAACAAAGCCTCATATAAAAGCTATAAAAACTTAGCACTGATAATTTTAAACACACTTGCCTCAAAGTGCATTTACTGATTTATTGGCAGCAAAATGTGTAATACAGCTATTGTATATAAAACGTATTAACAAAACTGAATTGTAGAGAATTCTGTTTTGTACATACTGAAAATTGCAGGCAACATGTAATAAAGGTGAACATTTGTAATTTGTAAAATATATAAAAGTTTGTCCTTTGTAATATAAAAAGTGTAGCATTATCAAATTATTATTTGATCACTTTGGCTTATGTTTCCTAATCCCAATATAGTCAAAATGATCAAATACTGTATATATTTTTTGTATCCTTTTGCGTTTCTATAATTATGTAATTATAACTTATTTGTAATTATATTGCAATGTAGACAAACACATGCATTGAAGTAAAATGAATGACAGTAAACAGTAAATAAAGCTTACCAATGGCACTATGAGAGAGAGAGAGAGAGAGAGAGAGAGCGAGTGTCCGAAGCAAGCCACTCGAGTCCAGTTGTTTAGGGCAGCTGCTTTCACAACATTAGATCCACTGTCGATAGTTAACAATTGCTTCTTTTTATCTAGTTCCCAAACTACTCCCATATGTTTGAGGTAGCTCCGCGTTTTGGCACAATGTCTTCTACAATCTGCATGTCTTCACCATGGTCTTCACCGCCGCCCTCAGCCATGTTTGCTCTCTGCTCTGTTGCTGTTGTCCCTGCACGCCGCTCTGCTACACGTGCCGCGCAGATGCGTCATCAAAGTGCGCCGCTCACAAACGTGTCTTCCGCTCGCTGTTTTCAGTGTTAAATGATCGTTTTCACCGGTATAAGGCATTTTCTTATCATTTAATTTACTTATACCGGTATACCGGTACAAAAAAAAATATCGCCCAACCCTAATCGATAGTATTTGGCTCTATTTAACAAAAGTATTTTTATTCATTTGACTGCTATTATTGGCAGGGTTCAAGTTTATACTTTTATTTATCATCACTGGATAATAAATAGTACTGACTACTGTAGTTTATGCAATGCTGGAGGCTCCAAGGACAGTGGTCTGTGGTTATCCTGTTCCCTATGGACCAAGGCTTCTATAAGTGTTTGTTATTATCGTATGTTCTGTGTTGGAGCTGTTTATTCTCTGACCGGTTGTTGGTGAATCGACAGCTTTGTAAAGTCCCTCGAGATAAATACTGTCGTGATTTAGGGCTATACGAAACTAAATTCAACTTACTAATAGTGAACCTAAAACCTAAACACGACATCAAAGATGACAGTGCACAGGTCTGGATGGCTGACAGGGCTTCGGGGCCATTGTGTAATCTCAGCACATCGTTTGTTGGCCCTGGGACATTGTGGGACCCCTGCCACCACGATGGCTGCTCTGATATGGATCTTGTGTGTGTTGACTTGATGAGTCCCAGGCCAAGAGAGGAACTTTTCATCTCTTTGCCTCCAGCTCACTATCTACTGTTGCTCTACACCTCTGTACGGCCAGAAAAATATTCTCAATCACACCAGGAAAAGTGGAGATTGAATTCAGTTAAATTTTTTTCTTGTATAGTCCTAAATCAGTAAAACAGTGGTTATCTCAGAGGACTTTACAAAATCGTTGAATTCGCTAACAGGGAATCAAACAGTTCAAACACAGGGAATGCAACAATAAAAAACAGCAAATGGCTCATAAGGGCCAGATGACGATTGTCCATAGATGTGGATTGTGGAGTTTCGAGTGTCCTGGATAGGTTAGGATAGGCGTTTGTCAGCAGCAGTGGTACAGCGCTCGGGGGCCCATCTCCAGATGTTAATACTCGGCTTGGTCAGGACAATCGTAACAGGAGGATTTACCTATTGTGCATGTTTAGTGGTAGAGGGAACCTACGCAGACATGGGAGAACATGCAAACTCCATTCAGAAAGGCCCTGTTCCAACTGGGATTCGAACCCAGTACCTTCATGCTGAGAAGCAACTTGAAATTCAGCAAAAAGCAGTTTATTGAACGGCTAACAAATGCTAACTGGTAGAAAGAAAATTGTGTTGCTATTTTAACTTCCTATTTCAAAAGTAAAATGTAATTTAATAAAAGTATAATGAAATAGAGATAAACTACATACACAGAAAGAAAAAGTAAACATTTTTGGAACGTAAAAAGATGTACATACTCTGCGAGAAACAGGGTTAATAAGGTCAGAATCTACTCGGAAAGAGGAAATGTATCTGACATGTATTTTGTCCCATTGATGGATTGTAGGTCTGCACATTCTGAGGAGCTTCAGTGAAAGTCCAAAGTCTCTCTGAGGCCCAGCCCTGCTCTGCCTGTCCGGGCCGGTCCCAAACGCTGATCACTTACCTGTGGAATCTTACAAGCTTTTTATATCCAGCATTAATACAGCGCCTGTAGCACAGACTGTCACAAGGAAGCAGGAGCAGAGGAGAGACGTAACAAGAGACTTTCTACTCCCATGCTTTATCCAAGTCCTGGAACACTTCAGTGGATTCTGTGGTCCCACTTAAGGCTATAATGTATGCAGATTTGATAGCTTTTTTCCTGTCACTTAATATCTTTGTGGCCACAGCTGCCCTGAGGGTGACTGACGAAAGCAAGGCTGCTAATTTGCACCATCTGCCTCTCCAACCCCATGCAATGATAAAAACACATAGAGAGATGACCAAAGTCCATAAATGTCCTGGATCATCAACACTGTCCTTAGACCCTCCTGCTTCGGCAGGGAACAACTCTAACAAAATAAATCACATCGAGAAACCTCAGGGAGGCCCACATTGAGGGAGGGATCCGCTCAAACAGACGGACGGTCTGTAGATCCAGGACTCAGGCTGTAGAACGAGGATAGAGGCCACACGATGCAGGACTGTGATGGCTTCTGGAAAAGTAATCCTAAAACCCATTTATTTTTGCAAGGTTTTACTTAATTTTGCACATCCGACTCTGTGATAGGTGCATAAAAGCTGGCTCGGCACACAGCTTTGCACAACTTGAAAATGTAGAAAAACGAAAGAAAAACAACTCTTGCAACTGAGTTGTCTTGGCCATTTTATTTCTGTGCACACATTTGAAACTAAGGGCGACAATGGCTCAATTGGCCTTTGAGCCTGAAGGTTGTGGGTTCGAGCCCACCATGAGACCTTCTCCACCGACGACCACTGAAGTCTGCTGTCGTTGTGTCCTTGGGCAAGACACTTAACCCCCTCGCTAAAGATCATGGCTGTGCTCTCACAGACGGAGCAGCCATCCTCCTGTGGACTC